GCTCGGTCGAGCAGAGCTCGAGGAGACGAGCCGCGATCGCTGGGGAAGAAGATTGCCTCTTGGATTTTCCGTGGAGTTAGGGCACGGGCGAGGAGCGGAATGAGTAAATTAGCCACCCAAAGTTTCTGATTTTGCAAATTAGCCACCCAAAGTTTCAGATTTTACAAATTAGCCACCCAAAGTTTCAGATTTTCACAAATAGGCCACCTGACATTTCAGATTTTGCAAGACATAAGCATCAAGGCTTCCAACCTTTGCAAATAAGGTAACGATACTTTCAGATTTTATGAGCAAAGCACTAAAATCTTCCACCCTTTGCAAATAACAAATAAAACCCTCTCAGATTTTTGTCCATCTCAAGCTAGTATGATGTATATGAGCAACATCAAACTCAAAGTAAGGTGGCAGATGCATAAACATAGCAAGTGTATGATTATTTCATCATTCAGTTGATGATATAAGTGCAAGGATAAAATAAAATAAAAAAATCGTAACATTTTATATAGTGATCATATGATGCACGAATTTTCACAACAGAAACCAAGCCCTTCACATTTTTTTTTTTTTCAGATTTTTCATGGATCAAGAAGTATGTAATTAAACATCACAAACAGAGCTAGTGAAACATTATGAACATTCCCTCCTACTATTATTATTTTCTTTTAATGGCCAATGGAATCGTGCAAATAAAGGGGAGTAAGAGTAAAGAGAAAAGGAAGAAAAAGACACCTCACTTTTTTTTTTTTAAAAGAAACAGGGAAAACCAACCACCAAACAATTTAGGGAAGAACCAATTCAAGAAAAAAGGTGTTGGCAGCACCTCCTCCTCTTCTCAAAATTTCGGCCCACCTCGATAGTCAAACACACAACCAAGCAAGAATATCGAGCCAACAATCCAGAATACCAAGCAGCCCAGAAGGAATACCGAACAGCTTAACAGGGAAATCTACACAAGACAAGATTTTGGCAGCACCTCCTCCCTCCTTTTCAATTTTCGGCCAACCCCAAAACCCTCCCCAAGTGGGGTTTTTTTTTATAGCAAAGAAAAGAGGAAGGAGAAGCCACCTACCAACCTCCCTGGTAGCCGAATCAAGTAAAGGAAGAGAAAAAATACATTTAGAGCGGAGGAAATGCGGCCTAGGGCAGAGGAAGAGCCAACCAGGTGGAACATCGCAGTTGGGGGACCGCTCGGTCGAGCAGAGCTCGAGGAGACGAGCCGCGATCGCTGGGGAAGAAGATTGCCTCTTGGATTTTCCGTGGAGTTAGGGCACGGGCGAGGAGCGGAATGAGCCGAGGGATTTAGGTTTAATATGAATATGATTTAAGGATATTTATATAAAAGAAAATATTTAATATTTTGAAAAATAAAATTTTAATTTGTGTTTCACCCATGCATCAAAACATAGCAAAATTGATATCATTTTTGCACAATTCTGACGTTTCGGACGTGCTGGCGCAGTCTGTTTTGTCGTCAGAAGTCGTTTTGACGAATTCATCGATTTGCGTGTCAATTTTCTCGTGTCAAAAATATGGCAATATGGGTGTCCTTTCCTACCAAAATGGGTATCCCGGACGCGTTGGTGCAGTCCAATTCGTCGTCGGAGGTCATCCGGAGAAGTTCGCATTTTCACCCGTCCTTTGGGCTTAATTGAAGTCTGATTTTATAACCGCTCGTTCATAAGACGATAGTCTTGTGCCATAAATGTTAGACATCAAAGAAAAATAGGAAGTGGCTGAAATTTCTAAAAGGGTGGGAATCAATTCTAGATTTCTAGGATGGTTAATAAGAATCTAGAGCTAGAATCTAGGCTCTAAGGAGGAGAAGACAAGACCTCACAAAAATGAGGTCAACATCGGGAAGACGCGGAAAGGGATAGGGAAGATAATTGCAACCTCGAGAAATAAAAACAATAGAAGTACCACCCAATCCCTTAGATACAATCCTTGAAGGGAGAAGAACAGATGTCGACGACTGTCCTAAACAAAACACAAAAAAATTAAACCTAAAACATCAAGAATACAAATATATAATAAAAGAATAACTAGGAGTGGCCCAAGAGGATCAGCCGACTCCTCGGATGGGAGAAAACCTGGACCAGTTCAGTCCATGCAAAATAACTAAAAGTGTGGATACGATAGAGTGTGGGACGCGATCCCGACTCCGCGACCCACATCACGCAGAAGACGCTCCTACATCATTATTCCACTGGAAAAAATGTAGTATAAAACCCTTGAGTGGCAAGGGCGACGAATGGTGCCTGATAGCAAATGATGAGTGATGGCAACAGCAGCTGGAATGGCCAGCAATAACATTACTAACCATTGCAATTTATAGTGAATTTGAAAATCATCCCAATCAAGCGAATTTGAAATACAATGAAAATGACTTGAATGTTGCATTTAAAATTCATCAGAATTTTACACTATATTCTTTTTTTTTTCAAAACCAAACACCCATAATTTGAAAACCCTAATGCAGTACCCCCCTTTTTTAGCAAAACAAACAGCCCTTAAATTTCAAATGCATTACATTTCTTTTGTTATGCATTCTTTTTTCAACAAATAAAATGGCCACTCAAGGTAGTTTCATGCATATATGGTATCACCAATTATAAATTTTAAAAAAGGATATCTACAAGGAGAGAATTATTATAGTGGTGCATATCAAATGTGATATCAATAGATGCATGCCCTCTATCACATTTTATCCCTTGTATACCGACATTGATTTATCGTCATCAAATGTAAAGAGATTATTAACCCCATAAGCCTAAGTAATTCCATATGTTCTATGATTGGATCATCAATGATTTGATTATAACAAATATTGTGTCGTGATAACTAATGCTTTGTTGAAATTTGACATATTTATTAGCTATGCAGCAACCATTACAATGATTGACCAATGACTAAGCTTGCTTGGAGCTACTGCAACCCAAATATGAGTTTCCACAGAACAATTTAGCATTTCTTAGCCTTCGAAGCAAATAATATTACAAGGCTTATAGTTTAGTGTTTAGATTAGCTTCTTTGTAAAGTATGAGCACTAGATTAATCTAGGACTTTCAAGATAACGAACACAATAATTAAGCTGAGTATTTTCTAAATTTAATGAAATTAATTTTACTATGAAAACCATGATTAAAAATTAATTAGAACTATAATTTATAATTAGTAGTTCATATCGGCAATCACCCATGACTAGGCTACCTAGTAGGTAGATGGGCCCCCACCACCACCCATGGAGGCCCCCATGGACTATAACTTTAGCGAGGAATGACATCTTTTATTATGTGGCATTCAAGAAAAATTTTTGGCACATTTTGAAATTTCTATTTGGATGCATATAGCACATGGATCTAAACTTTTGGATACGAGAAGTTAAGAGAAATAATGTGCATTAGTGTTGATGGTCAAATATTTTAAAAGAGGCTAATTATCTTCATCAGAGAAAATTTTAATAAAAAATCAAGTAATCTTCCTCACTCAATCTAATTAGTTTTGTTGGTTTTTTTTCTGTTTGTTTATTTTCAATCACTATATTCTAAATCGGATGTTATTCTTGTAAGGTATTATCTTGCACATCACCAAAGAAAGTTTTGGAGAGTTCTTTTTTTGATATCATGTAATGTGTTATCCTAGTCATGTTAGGATAGGATTGAGGAAGACTTGTTGGTATTCAACTATACTAACGTGAAGGAGAGAGCTTATTTGATGTAAGGAGAAAATGAGAGTGGAATCCTAAGTTAGGAGGCTTAGGCATGGACTTCGTCTATGTATCAGTGTAATATACTTGTATCACCATCACATAGCTTGTGTGGACACCTGTTATTTTGTTTATAGCTCATTCATACTACTGTTAGCAACACCTTACTTTTTTACTTGCATGCTCGTGTAATTCTATATTTGATTGTCCTTTATGTTTATTTTATGGGGTCTGTGGGTTTAAGAATTCAACAGAAATTTAAATGCTTTTAAAACATCCAATTCAGCCCATCCTCCCTCCACTTAGTGTACCTTGAATCTAAAATGATAACAAGAAAATCTGTTATCAACCTGGAATTAGGATACTTATTAAAAAATCACAGATGAACAGCCCAAGTTCTTGAAACTAGTCCAGATTCTTTACAAACGATTCAGTTTAAGACTAATTTTTAACTTCAATTTTTGCATGGAGAAAGTCAAGAATTTAGGAAGAGGGATGAGAAATTTGTGTTCATAAACCAAAAACCTCTATTTAAGAAAAATTATTGAGGAAATACTTTGACTAGATCAAATTTCAGTCTACAAATAAATTTAAATTTTCTTGAGGTTATTGAGACACAGAAACGGACAGATATATATATATATATATATATATATATATATATA